ATCTCAGATACAGATACAGATACAGATACAGATACAGACACAGATACAGATACAGATACAGATACAGATACAGTTTCAACCAAATTTCGCTCAAAATATAATTCCATTAATTATTATATAAATCTGTTTTTGAAAGCCATGTATATATGTATGTGAGTTGTTTGTCAGCTTAAAGGCTTATAGTTTGAATTTACACTATGATAACAACAATCAAACGTACTTATGCAAGTGCTCTGTCATTTGCTTAAGCAAACAGTGAAATTACTTAAGAGCAAAATCTAGTAAGCGCGAGAGTGAGAGCAACTGAAAGAGAGAGAGAGAGAGAGAGAGAGAGAGAGAGAGAGAGGGAGTGAGAAAGAGAGTGAGAGAAAGTGAGAGGGGCATGTCAGCTGTCATCGCATGTACATACGTATTTAATCTCAGGCTGTAATCCCCGACATAAATTTCAATTAAAAAGCTGACAGTGTCAGACATTAATTGTTCCACTGCTGAGCAACAACATTTCGTTATTGAAAGTGGGTTTGCTGCCCATAAATTGCCGTGTCTCAATCCCCAATCGTCGTCGCCACAAGCACGTACTCTCAGCTCCATTAATAAATTTTCACCATTTAATCTGGCTATATGTAATTTGCAGCTATCTGAAAAATCTCTCTTTTGGCAAAGTTAATGAATCCTTATTGGGTTATGACAGCTCGTGTCACACACGATTTATTTACACTGAAAATACAATTAAAGCGCATTTTAAGTATGGTCGATTATCGCCAATTGAGTGACAGTAATATGTAATTTATTAATTTGAGAGAAAACTCAAATACCTATTTTTTCACTAATTTGCATACATTTGTTTTCCTTTAAACTTCCAATTCGATTTCAGTTAGGCGCCAACATGTTGGCAACGAGAGCGCAACAGGTGCCTATGTTGTATACACAGTCAAACGAAAATGTTCAAACGCTCAAATACCCACAGAGTTTGACATTAGAATCAACAAACACGGTTGCTGCAAACAAGTTGTAACACAGAAGAACTTTAATACCAACTCCTAAAAATTGATTAGATTTATAAATATATTTGTATTTGTATATGTTTGTACTTAAAAAAAAAAAAAAAAAAAAAAAAAAAAAAAAAATACTGATTACATTTTGAATTTATAAATTGTTTACTTTATTTTATTATAAATCTAAAACAAAAGACTTTTTATTTTTGACTGAAATTTGTAATCCACAAATATTAAATATTCATGGGCTACAAAATTGAGCCAAACTTTGAAAATACTTTTCCATATTTAAATTGTATTTATTAATAAATTTAATTACATAAATTATTTTCATAAAATCAAAATATCTTTGTTCTAAACATTTGTTCTCTTCTACACATATTGGTTTACCTGTGTGCAATTGATTCGGCTTACTGTTTGAGGAAATTTACTAACCAACCCAATATATTTATTAATTAATTATTATATTCCTTTACTATGTTATTTTTTAACAGCAAATAAATTAACGGAAATTAATAATAGTGATTCGGCTGTAAATTTGCTGAATCTGTACTCTTATTGGCTGATAGTAAATACCGAATATAAGGCTGGCCGACCCACCAAGATAGTTATTTAGTTAGTTAGATAGTAACTTTTGAAGGCGTCTGTGTTTTGTGTTTTGTCTTTCAAAGCTACTAATCTTTAAATTTAGTGATTTTATTAAAGATCAGGCTGTATGCTATGTGTTCATAGCAAATATTTTATCAATTGGGCCTTTACAAATAAATAAAATGCATAATTGTATTCATTTCGACTGAAATATTGCTGACATTTTCTAGTTCGCAAATATTAATTAGCAAAGCATCATGAAATTGCGGCCGAACTTAAGTAACGATAATTCAATTCAATCGAACAAAATGAACTGAAGAAAGTACTGGCATTTTCATGCAAATTGGACTAAAAAACGTTTATATGAAGAGTGAATATATTTCAGGTGGGATGTGATCTTGTACCAGTTTAAGTTTATCCAGCGTGCATCTCCAATGGGTCACCATTGTCACTGTTTGGGCCATCGCAGCGCTGTTCTGTTCTGGCGACCTGGCGTTCATCGCTCCACACAGACGTCTGTATATGTATATGATAAAACGCTGCAAATTTGTTGTTAGCTGTTTATTGAGCTCTGAGTTTTACGAGGCTCAGTTCTCATTTTAAAAATATACGCAATATACTCTTTAATCTAAATGTGGGCATGCACTTTGTGTCCGATTCGCTGCATTATGAACACTATGAGCTCTACGTCCAGCCCGTTTACATTAAGCCGAATAGAGTGAAAAACCAACAGCGCTGCGGTCGTTTTAATAGCCCGCAAGCTGAAAGCTTGGATGTTCGGATAGCTACCTGATTTACTACAATATATTGGAGGATGTGTTGGCAGGCTATATACCCAACTGCTGAAGAAATGGTTGAACAGCTTTTCGAATTCCATCGGCAGACGCACTGCATCGACTGTCAGCGCGTATCAAGACGCATAAGATAGAGACGTCCGCTATGGAGTCCCTTATCATGACTGCATCATACCGACCACATCTTCGGCTCCAATGCTGCGTCCCAGATGGATCAGCACGCCCCCACATGCCAGTTGAATACCCTACCGAGTCCATTAATGAGATTTAACAAAATATAATTTACCAAGCATCGTGTTTATTCTTGGTTCTCTTGTTTATTTGCCTCTCAAGTTAGTCCATTAATAATAGGGGTTTAGCCGCCTCAACTGTTATTGAATTGTCATTGCTAAAGACAGCGCCATACGTATGCTCGAAGGCCAAGGGATCATTAGTCTGTCTTCGTTCAGCTATATGCTGATCCAGTTCGTAGAGCTCGCCGAATTTCAGATCTGGACAGGCGACGCACGTGAAATTAGCCGATATACTGAGAGTAAACTGATCCAGAGAGTCAACCGATAGCGACATCAAATCGCCATCATGATTCGGTTCGCCTATGGACGAGCAAAGGAATCTATCCATAGGTGGCAAATCCATTAAACGGGCGTTCATAAAATCGTTGACCATCTCGCGACCGTTTTTAGCAACGTGCAGCTCGCAGGGCTCGTGGCAATCGAAGAGTTCCGGCGAATTGATGAGCAGCTGCACGCCTGTTATGAGTAGCTGGCGATGGTTCGGGTCGTCAATGCCCAACAGCACGAGGTCGCTGCCCAGAATCTGCTTGCACTGGGCAATGGTTGTGTACCCACGTTCGATAAAGCAGTGTACATACTTTTCCATAGTGAGCAGGACGAGCCACTCGCGCACTTTCCTTGAGCACATTTTCGCTTATTGAGTATGATTCGTGAAAATGCTGACAAATAGAAATTAGGTTAGAATGCTCAGTTCAATTGCAATACTTAAATTATGGCAACTGGCGGATGTTAGTTATCGATTGGTCGATGAAAAGCTTAAAAGAACCAGTTCCAGTGTTGGGCAGTACGCGCAAGAAAAAGCACTAACTATACATTTTGTGGTTTTATTATTAAAAATAATAAATAATACCTCTGGTATGCTTAAAATTCATTTTATTTACTAGTTGGATCAGAACATTTACATTTATTACAAATTATATATACCCAAATTGAAATATCTATATATTAATGTCTAAAATCATATATAAATAAATATTTTAAAGGAAAAATATACTCCAAAGCTTAATCAGGTATTTTGATATATTAATAAGCGATATTTGCACAAATGGCATTGTAATTTGTCAGTAATCGATGATTCGATACATCGATATTTCATGCTTACATCGCTAAAGCAAAATGTGTATAAATTCCATCTCACATGGTTGTTGGTGCAAAATAATAAAAGAGACTGACGATTCAAATTGTTAAGACAACTATGGTAAATATTTTATTAAGAAGCGGAGTTATTAGCTGGAAAGAAAAGAGCAATACGAGCGTGGTCAGCAACATCGCAAGTGCTAATGTACGCCGGAATCACAGTGCAGAACGATCCGAATTTAAAGAACATGCCGGTTGAGTTCCATTCATAAATACGCACAAATCTGTATGTAATGATATAATAACAATAAATATATAGACTATATATACTGAACATGTATGTATGTTTTTAGCTAGCAAAGTGAACGAATGCTTAAAGTTTCATCATAGCTTAAGATGAATATTATAATATTTTAATATGAATATTAATTAAAAATGTATATGTATGTACCTCTAATATATCAGTTAATACAAATTTTGCTAATCTATTTTAATCGATTTTATAGCGTAAGTAAATTATTTCCTTTATACATTTGTTTTCCTATCAACTGTCAATTTGATTTCAGTTAGACGCCAACATGTTCGCTTCCAGAGTTCAACAGGTGCGAATGTTGTATACACAGTCAAACGAAACACTAAGAGTTCGACATTAGAATCAACAAACACGTTTGTTGCCGACAAGTTGTAAAGCAGAAGAGCTGGGATACATTCTGCCTGTGCCTGTGTACGTGGGTTTGCCAAAAACGTAAAAAAGGAACTTATTTCCGATTTTTGTGATAATTGTCCTTATAGGTCTAATAAAAATCAATGTATATTTATAGAGAATTGTTTTGGAGAAATTAAATATAATAATTATTTATTAACATATTTTAATACACGCGCATAATAATTTGTATATTTTAGTGTGATTCAAGTTATATACATTTTATAAAATTATTGTACATACTGTCTTTTATATACATACATACATTGGTTTGCCTGAATACAATTTCTTTGTTCGATTTATGCCCACACATACATATATATTTTTCGCAACATTTACATCTGTTTCGTGAACAGCCACCAAATAGACTGAACCAAAACATTAAATTTGCAGTCTCAGTTTTTTTGCTCGGGCTGTAAATTCTCTAAAGCCTCACTCGTTTCCACTGAAGTCTTTTGGCAGCACAAGTAAAATGTTTTACACGGTGACAGCTGCATTTTGCCAGCATGTGCACATTGTTGGCCAAAAGTAAATGCCGAATATAAAACTGGCAAGCTATCGACGATGCTAAGTTGTAGCTCGTGAGGACTTGAAGTGGGAGAAAATGGGGTCTTATGGGTTTTTAGTTTTCTTTCAATGTAAATAATCTTCTTGTCAGCTGCTGTTTGCAAAAGTAGATTATAGGTGTATTTCTAAGTATTTTTTTTATTACACATTAGAGTTGATATAAAATAAAATGAAACTTAAAGTGCTAAGTATTCTAAGTACATATATTTTTAAGTAATTGCCCATCGTGAATTGTAGACAATAGATTGAGGCTTTAACACTAAGGAGAAGTCATCGAAAATTATAAGGAACCAATTTTTTAAAGGAATTTTAATTAAGTCTAAAAATAATATAAACATTTTTTTTTGCTAGCATTTAAAATAATTTTCCCTATATATATTCTGTACTTAAGTTTCAAGCTTTTGAACGAGATAAATGCATAGAAGAAATTTAATTTTTTTCTCAACACTCCAGAGTGAATTTAACTCAAACAATTCATTTCCGCTCAGCTGCGTTCCACGGGGGGGCTAACTAACTGCCCTTCCGGCTCTGACCAGCAGGACGGCTTGCCAAGCGCTGGAAGATGCCCCGCGGATGCCGCATAATTAAAAGCAATTCGGACGTCCTCTGCCACTTGTTGGCGTCGTCTACTTGTTGGCGACAGCAGCAGGACTGTGCCAAGAGTAGAGCTTTAATGAAATTACTTTGGCAGCAGAACACAATATTAAAATAAATTACAAGATAATATGAACCGCTTAAAGAGTTGTTGAGGCGTAAGTCTGTTCATTAAATGCTACAGCTATGCAATACAAAAGTCTTTTTCTTTTCAGTTTGATTCAACCTTCCACTGGGGAGAGTCATTAGCCCGAGGCTCTTGTGCTGGGAGTCAAATATGTTAAATACGAGGCAGACAAGCTGCAAGCATTTCGCTGCAAATCGCAACAGGAGCCACAATTATGCCACATGGCAACGTGCGAGTCGTTGACGTGTGCTGCTGCTGAGTATTTACCCAAATGTCGCAATATCCTGCTACTGCATCCTGTTCGTACTCGTTTTTGCATTCGAACAATGCGTGCATTCAATTCCCCAAGAGATGAATTAAAAACTGCATCAGCAGCAAGCGCCCGACAACTTTTATGAAATAGCAGAAAAAAAAGAGCTAGAAAAAAAAAAGAAAAAACAAGAAAAAAGTAGGAATGTTCCAATGAAGAAAGAAACAGTAAAGGGCAACCCCCTGTGCCCGGGCCCGTTGCTCAGCGGCCCAGTGGGTGCGGAGGGAACGCTTAACCATTGTCTAAGCGCTGCCGGCTAAATAGCAGGAAGCAGGTCTAAACAGTAGAAATCAACAGAAAGCACTTGCAACGGCAACAGAGTGGCGCCTCGAGTGTTTACAGCAATTCATTTGCGCCTCAGCTACCAGAGCTCAACAATGGGCCAACAGTAGTTGCAAGCGTGCGTCAAATGAATATGTTTTTCTTCTTTTCTGCCTTGCCTTGCTTTTGCCTGGAAATAAACTTAAAGCCAGGTCCGCACTGATGACTGTGGTCACAACCTGTAAACGAATAAGACAGCAACAACAACAACGACAGCAACAACAACAACAATAAGCCGGACTCTATATCTATCTATGCCGTTATTGCATTTCAGTTGTGGCCACATTTATTTAGCTACCCTTCGCCACAGACACTCGGCCACTGAGTAAATATGAAAGAAGCAAAGAAAGAAACGCAAACGGAGCTGAAGGCAAGCAGCCGACGCTGCTGCTGCTGCGGGCCATCATTCAACCTGTCAAGGACATCGGCAGGACCATCTACAACGACAGYAGCAGCAGCTGGAGCCGGCTGGGGCTATGAAAGTAATAGTTCAGCTGCGGCTGCTTTGATGCGGTCCGAGAGCTGCACAAATATGTGCTCAAGGTGAGCAAATCCCTAAATGTGTTGCTGAGCGCCAGACTAAGATGATTATGAGCTCGGAATGATTATGAGCTCTGATAAGACTGACAGTATTAATACTTGATAACAGCTCAAATTTTTAAAGAGATTTTAAATAAAATGTTATTTTTTGGTTGAGCTTTAATTGAATAATATATTTAGTTACGGGTCTTACAGCAGACGTCACATAGCAGAAATATCCCCAAACCGAATCAAAGAGCTAACCAAACTTCGCCTGACTAACTTTACTCAGCAAACTATTGCAGTTCTCTGTGGCCTTGGCAGCTGTGCTACAAAGGCAATGAAAGCCAACATCATTATTATTTTAACAGCTTCAGGAAGTCGTTCCAAATGTGCATCTCCAACTAGAGCTATGAGACCCCATTGATGGAAATTGAATTTTGCAATGAACTGATGCCCCAGAAGGCGAAGATCTGAAAAAAGGCTTCACAAATTATAACAAGATTTCAAGATAATTGCGAAAAACCAAAGAGTTCGCACGATTTTAAAAGTAGTCCTATTCTAAAGAAATGCCCATTTATAAAATAACTGTAGTAGAGTTGAGTGGAAATCACGATAATTACAGACTTATAAGTAGCTACAATTATAATACGTTGAATTGTTTCAATAGACCGTTCTGAAAGCTTTTCAAATGGACTATGTACAGTACAATCCGGCTATAATGACTATCTTTAAAGGGTCTGTACGGATATTACGATGAAAATTACGATCCCCATACAAACTTATGTGGTTATAGAGGTCAAGAGACAGTCGTTATAATTAGATACTACTGTATACTATATACTAATAACATACCTTAGTAAAAATATAAAATTTAAGATTATTTTCACACATAACAGGTTTTACTTTAATATAAACTTTACTTAGGCTGATCAGCAAATCCTCCTCCTCCTTGCCAAGTCCTTAAAGACTAGGCTATATTTATATGATTCAAATATATATTACCATACGATAGTATCGGTATTTTGATAGTTTGGAAGAAAACATGCAGCTCTACCTCTAACGTATCCCAATTTCCACATTTTCTTTTGGCGACTCACTGTTTATGCGCTGCGTCACGGCTTGCCATCAGAAGCCAAATGACAGCGACAATGTGTGGAAATGTTTGCATCACGCTGTGCGCGAGCTCGCGAAATGGAATCTAGTTGTGAATCCTTTGACTTGGAAAATAAAAATGCCAGCAGCAAATAAAAATGCCAGCGGGAAGTGGCAAGAGGAGCCACTGCTGTGGCCTATATAGATAAGTATAATCGCATGGCTTAGACAAATGTTTTATGCGGCTTTGGGCCAGATTAGGCTCAAGTGCCGCTGGCATACGCTGCGTATGAGTTATGCATGCAGAACAGTAAAGAATTGAAAACTATTTATTTAAAACTATTC